GGGCTGGGGCTCCCACGGGTGCTCAGGATACAGGACCGGGCAAGATAAGACCCAAATACGCATCGCCGGAGCACCAGCTGACCGCTGGTGGGATGAAAAAGGGGTCTCTGTTCACCAGGATGGGCCACAACTGCCTTCGAGGCCAGAGAGAACCGAATCCTGTACCACAGCCACCCGTGGGTACGGCTGTCCCGTGGGGAGATAACTGGGACAGCCCCACTACGCAGACTGGGACCTGTGTCGTCGTCCCCTCTTGCTCCCACATCCTCCGCTCAGGTGTGAACCTGAACAAAAACCGGGTGCAAGAGGGACCAGGCAGCCCCGGAGCTCGAAGCTGCGAGGACGGACGGAGCCGCATCCTTGGCTGAGAAAAGGGATCTCCGTCTCCCACCATACCCTGTCCTACGGGCGGGAGCTGCAACCCGGGGCAAGACCTCACCTCCGCCAACACCAGCCCTGCCACGAGACCCGGTTTGCCTCCCTGGGAACCCCACGGAGGGAAAGTTCTGCATCTCCCGCAAGCTTTTTGCGCGTTGGCCTCATCGCTCGGAGGACGCGCGCGCGCTTTGCCGCCTGCCTCCTGCTCTCTGGGGCCAACCTCCGACGGAGCAAGGGAGTAACTATAAAACCAAACACCCCCCCCCCTCCACCGCCACCGCCTCCCCCTCCTCCCCGCCGGCCGTGCTCCTCCAGTGAGCACACATGCCATTTTTAGCTCCCAGCAGGGCTGCTGGGACTCACATGCCTCCCCATCACATGCCCTGGCCACCCTCCCTTTGAGCTGAGCCCAAACTATACCTGGCACAGGTGAGACGGAGGCCTGGCCCCCCGTCACGCCAAGCCGAGGAAGGGTCAGCGAGACCCTCAGGGCGGCCGGACGCACTGGTTAGGGCTGAGAGCGACTGGTACCCACGAGCGCGCGACTGCTGCAGGTACTGGGATTGGGGATCCTCTCACCCGTAGACGCTTTTTTCCTTCCCCGGAGCCTTCCGATTTTGGGTCCGCGGGGAAGCCTTTCGCTCCCCAGGCTGCAGGGCAGACTGCACAGGCGAGAGGTGAGAACCGGCTCATTTTGGGCTGGCTCAGCCCTTCTGCTGGCATCCTTCCCCTCCCCTCGCTTCATCCTGGGGATGCTTTCCGAGACGGAGGATCAGCCTGCCTCTGAGCTTCCCGGGATGCTCATCTCTCACCGAGGCAGTCAGAAGAACGCCGCAGAGCCAAAACCTGTTCCCCGACCACCATCACCCGCAGGACGCAAGTTACCAGCAACACCCTAACCAAACCAGCACCCGGTGGCAGCTGAAAGCACCTTAAACCAAGTTTTTGGCCACTTGACAGTCCCATTTCATCTTCAGAGCTGTTCTCATTTACAGCCCCCGCCCCAAGTCATAAAATTCACATTTCTAACCCTCTTCTGACACAGCTGTGGGCACGGCACTTGGCACTATGCCCTAAAAGCCTCTTACCCAATTACCCCCAAGGATCCCTCCAGACAAGATGCTGCCCGTGCCAGCTGCCCCCAGCATCACCCCAGCCCTCCGCGTCCCCTTTGCGATACTCCTCTAGACCGTTGCAGCGAGCCCTTTCTCATCCTTTTCCAGCTCTTCATCCCTATTTCTACTGGGGAACTATTAAACACCCTCTGCCCTCAACGCTGGGGTTGTGATGGTTTCCATCCTGTTGCTGATCTTCTTACGGCTAATTCAGCTGCTTTTTTGACTGCTGCCGAGTACAGGTAGATGCTTTTTTTTTTTTTTTTTTTAACAGCCAGATCTCATCTGTGAGCAGCAAAAACTAGATTGGAGGTACTGCTGCACACATAAAATGAGGTTAAGGTCTTTCTTAATGTGCTTTTTGGTCAGCAGAGGGGTGCTTCTGCCCCTCATATGTGACATCAGTGAGCAGCATGAGCGGGGCTGCCTCTGCGAGGGGTGACGAGCCAGTATTTCAGGGTGATCCCGTGCCCTCGCTAACAAGTATAGTCCCACAGTACCTGAGCAGAGCAGAGGCAGTTGTTGGTAACAGGGTCCATCCACAGAGCGAGCGATAAACCAAGGTCCAGTATCCACCTGGTCAGGAGATAGGGCTGAAATCAGGGCTGGATAATACGGCTACAATATACACCTAAAAGACAGGGCTGGAGGCACGGCCAAAACAGATTAACCTACAAGATTGCTTAAAACAAAACTGAAAGCCCCGGGCTTGAGCTTAAATGCAGCTCAAGAGGGTGGGAGGTCCCACGTGAGGCTGCTTAGGACAATTAAGGCCCATTAATTTGCCCACAGGTGCCTGACACAGCTGCATAAGAGCCACGGGGCAGCAGATGAAATCAGAGCAAACCAAAAAGTGCTTCTTCAAGCTGCGCAGCGGATCTGTGCGCTCATTGCCCCTGGGGTGCTCGAAGCATGCGCAGGTGTAAGGGCGACTTGGATAACTTTCTGGCAAGAAAAACCATCAAGGACTGCTGGAAATGCCTGGTTTGGAGGCCCTTATGCTTTAGGGAGTTGTTAGCTGGGACAGCGCATACCTGCTTGCTATCCTCTTAGGCTGTACAGTAAATGTTCGATTTTGGCCGCAGCTGGTGGCCCACTAAGCGGACCTTTGCTCTGATGGAGCTGCGCTGTTCTTCCTGGCCTTGGATACCACAGGTTGTCTTCCTTTCCCAAGGCTGGGGTTTTTTTTGGTTTGTTTTTTTTTTTTTAAGACGTTCCTTCAATTTGGGCTGAAGCAATTGGATCCTACCTCTGTCAACAGCCTGAGTCCTCTCATTCTCCTGCAGGGGCTCTGATTTTCTGCTCTCCTCCACTGCACTTAGCTAGAACTGTTATTTGCCCAGCTTGCTGTTTCCAATTAGTTTGGCCAACATCTGTCCCATCCCCAAGGATACAGAACTTTTTCATGACATCACTCCCCAAAATACGCAATCCCAACCCCCGCCTTTCAGCACCCTTTGGGTCTAGAGTTTGTCCTAGCTCTGGTGCCTTTCCATTTAGGTGCTTCCCTGTAGTCACCAGGTCTTGACTGCGTGGTAAACAGGCACTCGAGTCCCCAAGATGTGTTGGGATAAAGCTGAGCACCCCATCCTGACGCCGCTCACAGAACCAGCCCGCTGCAACCATGTCGTCCCTCCCAGTACACAGAAATACCTGCACGCACAAAGCTGGCAGAGCAAGGATGTCACTCCAGCAGCCCTTGGAATTTCTATTCTCTAGCCGTGCCATCACAGAGATGCTGCTTGGCTAGGTCCTCCCCGACAAGTGAGGGTGCCTGGCTCCATCTCCAGCTCACCCAGGAGCATTTTGGGCGAGCACAGCCATAATCCTGCTACCCTGCCTGTCACGTCCAACACGGGGCAGCAAGGTGGGAGGACAAGGGATCACTCATTGCGTCCAATATGCAGGTGGCCTTCGCCTGGGGCAGAGACTCCAGGTCACTCGCTGGCCTGTCGGCTGATGCCGTCCAACCGCCCTTACCTGCCCCTCGCTTCCCAGACAGCCTCCGAGGAACAGCACCAGTGAGCAGGATGGAGCGGGTAACCCCTGTGGAGGGATGAGATGAGATGCTGCAGTGGAGGAACTCTAGTCCAGCTAGAAGGATCGAGCGACAGGCTGCGATACGATCTATCCACAAATGCCCAAGGAAGCGGTTGCAGAACCAGCTGGGAATATTTCTGGGGCAAGACATGCTCTAGAGGTAAAGAATACCACAGGGACGCACAGGCAAGACAAGACACATTCGTTAGTGACTCGGCTGCGGGAATCAGTCCACGGCGCGCGGCCGTCCTCCCCGAGACGTAGGGCAGCAGGCAGGGAAGTCCACAGGAATGGGACGGATGGGAGAGATGGAACGAAAGGACATCAAACAGCAAACGCATGTGAGAGGTCACTTGCAAGTTGGAGAGCACGCACGCAGCAGCGCTGCGGCACTTGCGCGCTTCGAAA